ATACAGATATCTTCTAAATCCAAACATTCTAAAAACATTGCTAATTAAAATCATTTATCAGAGTTCGTCCCAAAATCACATATTGCGGAAAATACGGGTGTGTAAGTTGCAATCAAGTTGGGCCCTTCCTTTCCAAACCGATGATACCTGAAACCATAAACAAAACTGTAAGCACGAAGCTTAGTGAGTTCCCCAGAGCATACCCCACATAATCCACATAATCACATAAACCATATCAATCACATAAGCCATGCATATAAACATATAAGGATGTCGTGGACTCCCTCCACGGTCTTACTCCAGGATGCCGTGGGCTCCCCCAGGGTCTTACACCTATATGCCATGGGCTCCCCAATGGTCTTACTTGGAATGCCATGGACCCCCCCATATGGTTCGACAATCAAGTGTCATGGGCTCCCCACATGGTCTTTACCTGGAATGCCATGGGCTCCCCCACATGTTCTGGCAATCAAGTGTCATGGGCTCCCCCCATGGTATTTACATAGAATGTCATGGGCTCCCCTACATGGTCTGACAACCAATTGTCACGGGCTCCCCCCGAGGTCTTCCATGCAAGTATCACAAAGATAACTAGCATATCACATAAACAACTAACATACCATTTATCACATACATACTAGACATATCAATAATGATTCCGTAATAATCATCACAACTAATTGAATGGGCCGACCTTGGTGCCTTCGACCCATTGGTATGGTGAGGAGACTCACCTCTCACTGCTGAAGTCCCTCGAATAAATCTCTGGCAGCTGGCTGACCGATCCCCGAACTCCAGAAGATAGATCTAGGTGCACAAAGCTTGGATCCAAAAGCCCCAAGTCAAACAATGACTCTTTAAGAAGTTCCTTCTTCCTCCTCAAGAACCAAAACACACAAAAACCACTTTGAAGCTCTACAATCACTCAAATGGGGGCTAAGGGTCGATTTATTGGGTTTAGAAGGATAGAGGCTGAAGATATCAGGGTTAGGTAATGAGATAAGGAGCTTAAATAGGGTCCAAGACCATAAAATAGGGTTCTGATCTAACAGGCATACGCCCAGCATACTCCGAAGAGCATTCGTGACCATCCTGGTCAGTATGCCCATCGTACTCCAAGGTACGCTCTGCGTACTGCCTTCTTCACTAGTACACCCCGCGTACGCTTTGTGTACGCCTCGTGTACTCGGCTAAGCTTGAAAACCACGAAACATCCGAAGGTCATAACTTCTTCGTTATAAGCCCGATTCCGACGATCCTTATATCCACGGAAAGGTAAAGAGAAGCCCTACACTTTTATCAACTCATAACTTTCTTAAGACCTTCCGAACAAAAATCCATTTTCCACGAAAGCCCGAACTAACACTTTACCGCAATACCCCTAGGCTCCAAAACACGAACCGAACACTCCGATCACTTCTAATACAACAACCACACCCAAATAGGCCCAAATCATACCTTTTCAAAAGCCCTAATACTTATGATGACCGATCTTCGGGCCACAACCTCAGACTAAGAATTGATTCGGAACAGGGCGTTACACATATTGCCTCTAGCAGTGAACATCATCACAGCTAGACACCGGTGCATATTGAATTTCACTCACATGGCTCATTGTGAACTATGACTATAATATAAATTTATGGAATGACTAGAACATGTAGGACATCCACAGGATTATGTCAACCGCATAAAGTTGTATAAGATGATGCTCATTAAATTTAAATAATAAACTAAATCTAATACATTACCACCTCCAGACCATATAATCTATCAATTTATATTGATGTAAATTACTTTTTGGTTTATGAGTATTTTTAGAAGTTCGAATCAGAATAGAATGACAAAATGAGAGATTTGGAAATATAGATTACCACAGATAGATATGGAGGCCGAAGGGTTGAATACGTTCGATGGCAGCAACCGCGCAACTGTTTGATTTTGACAAATAGATAGAAATCATGATGGTGATATTGTGCAACAATGATATTGTTGATGATTGGGGCAACATAAGAGTTGACGATAGAAGATATCAGCGAAGGAAGTGTGGGATTGATGATAGGCAATGGTCGATTGCATAAGGGTAAGTGTCGAGATGGACTTGTTCCTTTTTTTGGTTTTGAGAGAATAAGAGTTCAATCTTTAAGTGTCGGCGCCTTGCTAATAATCACTATCAAACCCTAGTTGGGCAAAACTTATAATCTCGGCGGGAATATGAAAATTAGAACGTAGTAGTGGGCAGAACTTTTAATTTTAAGAATAAATTATACACATGGTCCCTATGGTTTGGGGTAATTTGCGCGCTTGGTCCCTAATTTATTTATTTTTTAACTCGTAAGGTCCCTACTATTTGTTTTGTTATGTTCTTGGTCCCTACAGTTTGTTTTAGTTATGCGCTTGGTCCCTGTTTTACCTAAAAAGACTATTATTTAAATAAGGAAAAATGGCAGGGTATTGAAGGTAAGGTGAGGGGTGGTGGGGTTGGGGGTGTGTTTATTTAAATAAATTAAAAAAATCAAGGGTAAAATAGTCTTTTAAGGTAAGACAGGGACCAAGCACGTAACAAAAACAAACAGTAGGGACCTTCCGAGTTAAAAATATAATTTAGGGACCAAACGTGCAAAGTACCGTAAACCATAAGGACCATTTATGTAATTTACTCTAATTTTAATCTTAGCGGGAATAGAAAAGTGATAACTTTTGTTTTAGTTATAATGGCACAAAATAAATATGTGTCACTAAAAACATAGTATAGTGGCACAAAAGAAAATGTGCCACTAAAAACTTGTGCCACTAAATGTAATTTTATTTGCAGTGTTACTCGGGGCCGTGACCTGAAGATCAGTTATCATAAGGCTTCGGGCCTTGGGGGAAGAGAGATTTAGAACCTTTTTGGATGTGGGTATTATGGATTAGGTGATCCGAGAGTTCGGTTGTCTTTTGGAGACCAATGATATATCGGTAAAGTGGCAATTCGAGTCTTTTATGAATTCTGGATTTTAGTTCGGAAAGATTTATGGCAGGGGGTTGATAGAAGTATAAAGCTTCTCATTACCTTTCCATGGATATAAGGATCGTCGAAATCGAATTTAGAACAGAGAAGTTATGGCCTTCGGAAGTTCGGTGACTTTAAGGCTAAGCCTAGTACGCTGGGCATACTTGGGGAGTACGCTGGGCATACTAGGCAGGAGGATCGTAGGCACCTCATGGAGTATGTTGGGCGTACTCCAGCCTCATGCAAACCCTAATTTATGGTCTTGGACCCTATTTAATGATCTTAACTCAACTCCAATCCCTCTTATCTTCAGCCTCCATCCCATTAAACCCTATATTTGAAACCCTATCTTCCATTTGAGCATTTTGAAGTTTTTAGTGTGATTTTGGTGCGCCTTAGAGAAGAATGAGTTCTTGTTGGAAGCATTGCTTGGCTTAGAGCTTGTGGATCCAAGCTCTATTCATCTTTATCAACTTCTAGGGGGTATAAAGTTTCTAACTTGATGATTCCATGTTTTAGATCTAGTGCAGAGTATGTTTTGGGTTTATTTTGGTCCTTAGAGTCATCCTTGTGAGTATGAGCTACTCCAAGAACTTAGGATGTTGTATCTTAGCACTTCCGAGGTTGTGGGTGCATAAAAATGCCATCTTGATGGATTTGGGTGAGAAATAATTAAGTTGGTGTTCATATTATGGGTTTGGAAGGATAAAAAAGGGTTTTGGGTCCCCTTAAGGCATGAAAAGGAGTAAAGTTGGCAACTTTATGCTTTAAGACCATATCTAGGGATCATATTTGTGTTTGGACAACTTGACTTAACCCAATAAGAGCTTAAGATGGATTTTTGGGCCTCTGATGAGTACACTACATTGGGCGTACGTAGGAGTACGCTCAGCGTAATGCATGTATCATGCATCGTTTGCTTGTATGTGGTGCTTTAGGGGCGAGTATGCGGGGCGTACGTTCCTGGTACGTAGGGCGTACTCCCTAGGGTGTCTATTTTGGGCCTTTTAGGGTTTGGGCCTTGATGGGCCATTGGACTTCTGACTTTGGGCCATGGATAAATTACAATTTTTCTTGGAATTAGGTCCATAATGGTTTTTGGGCCCAATTACGAAGTTGGGCTATATTGGGCCTTAGGATGCCATTTAGGAAATTGGGCTTCTTGAGCAAATGAGTTGGGCCTTGGTTTTGGGTTGAGTAAGAAAAGGGTAAAATGGTTTTTACCCTGGTCATTGAGCAAGCAAATTTAGATTCTTGATTATGGGCCAAGATCCAATTATTAATTGGATGTTATTTGATGGTGCTAGCGCTCGAGGATTTTTCCGGATCAGCAGACCGAGATTTTATCTGAGAGACTCAACAGCTTGAGGTGATTTTTCCTTCACTATATCCATGGGTAGAAGGTACTAATGTCGGCCCGCTAGTTTATGATATAGTGTGATGATTGTCTTTTTGACAATTGTCAGTTATGCCTGTATTGCTTGATGACTCTCTGATTCCTGTTATGATATTATGTGGTAGTAGTAAGGGGTGAAATAGACCTGATATTCGGTTAAAATAGACCAAAGGGGATTAAAAGCACCCAGATATGCTTGATAGTATCCGGTTGAAATAGACCGAAAGGGATTGCAAGAACCCATATATGATTGACAATATTCGGTTGAAATAGATCGCAGGGGTAGGCAAGCACCCATATATGCTTGGCAATATGCTTGTTTAGTATGTGGTATTTTTAGGGAGCTCACTAAGCTTTGTGCTTACGGGTTTCAGTTTATGTTTCAGGTACTTTCAACTCGAATGGGAAGGGCCCGGCTTGATCGCACCGCATCCACCCTTAGTTTCCACATTATGTGATTTTGGGATTTGTACTATGATATTATTTCAATATAATACACTTTTGGTTGTTTTGACATGATTACTAGATGCTTTGAAATGAATTAAAAATGAAATTTTACCTTATAATTTTTGGGACGTTACACAATTCTTCTACTTCGACATCTCTTCCATGCGCCGACTCCTCCCATCTCCGCCCAACGCCTTTGTCGACTCTGTTCAGGCCTTTGTCGTCTCTGCCATATTCTTACTACACTCCAGCATCACCAAAGGTACTCTCTAGCACTCATTTGTTTTTTCGAAATTAAATGCATTTTCTTGTTTATCATTAGAAATAAGATGCATGTATGAAAATAGATGTATTTTCTTCTTTTTCCTTTGAAATCAGAAGCATTTTATTGGACTCATTTTGTTAATCAAATGGTATGTAATGTTGTTGTATGATAAATTCAAATCACACTTGAGAATTGAGATGGTTTAGCAAAATTCATATGATGATTATACCATGGTTACGAGGAATGAGGAATGCATTGATATTAAGGAAGTTGAATTGATTAGTGGGGAATGCACTGATATTAAGGAAGTTGGATTGATTATAGGAGACAAACAAACTATATGAAAGTTTGAGGTCTGCTTGTAATAAAAAAAAGTATAATATATTTTTTTGAACATTAAAGTTTTGGTTTTACAGGATGAAATGTGAAGAGTTCTTATTATTACTAATTGAACATGTAAATGGGAGGGAAGGAGCACCCAAGTTCTCAAATTTTTATGTATTTATATATTTTAAGGGCCTCTTCGACCCAATATCATTTTTCGAGTTATCACCTTTTTTAGTATAAAACTAGTAAAAAACCCGAGCTTCGTTGCGGATCGTTTTTTTTTGGTATTATGTTATAACAGATTTGACAAAGATTACTGAAAATACATTGTATAGAATTCAAAGAAAAGTTTATGTGTGTTTATTTGATTTAACAACAAAACATTATGTCTAACACTAGGTAAAAACATAGTAGTTTTACAAAGGGTATATTGAGAATTTAAATGATTAATTTTCTTTTGTTTCTTTTGGTGTAGATGCTTAACATTTGAGTCTACCAATAGCTATTAATGATGGAGTTCGTATTCAACAACAACAAATGATATTTAAATCCTGCAAACATAAAATGCAAGTAAAACTGCAAATAACTGTATGTATCCGATCCATACGTACATTTCTTGACAACTTTGAGTGGTCATATAACCCATTTTCGAGACTAAAATGCTAAGAAACAGTGAAATAGGAACGAAAAATGCAAAGATTGTTTTTTTGAAACTTGCTGTGAAATTGATATATACCACAGGGACCAAAAGTGTATTTTAGTAAAAAACACGGTTTTACTATTCCGAACTTTGGCCAAAATTAATATATTCCCGGACTAAAATGCTAAAAAACAGTGAAATAGAAACGAAAAATACAAAAATATTATATTTTTGGACCTTGCAGCGAAATTGATATGCCATAAGGACCAAAAATGTATTTTACTGAAAAGCATTGTTTTACTATTCTGAACTTTAGCCATATTTAATATGTATATATTAATTTTTGTAAGTGTTACAAATAGTATAATACCAAATATGATACCCTTCCTTCAAATATGATATCTTCCTTCAAATCAAACTTAGGTTGAAGTTCCATTTGTTATTATTATTATTATTATTTAAGTTTGAAGTTTATAATTAGTTGTTTTTTTTCTTTATTATTTCTTTAAATATATGTATATTTATTTAGTAGTTTTCTTTGGATATTTTATCAAATGGATACATTTTATCTGGTATAAAATAGAACATATTCATAAAATAGTCATTTTCATCGGTCATCATACCTATCCATAGACATAGTCAAACATCATGTTTTTAATCATAAACGAGACAGAGCTTCTAACTTAATCAACTCTCTGACTTAATCATATACGACCCCAACAACCACTATATTTTAGAAGTATAAATACATATTTTTATTTTTAAATGTATAGAATAATTTCAGAAAACATTTGTTTTTTTCATATAAATACATTTTTGATTGATATACTTCTAAATATGTAAAATTTGTATATGTCTTCTAGAAATTATATTAATATTCCAAAAAATATATTTTGTATTTCTAAAAAACATAAAACTAAGTATTTGTATGATGTTTTGTATTTTGTTTATATAAATATAATTTCAGAAAATGTATTTGTATTTTTAAAAAACATAAAAATATATATTTATATGATGTTTTGTATTTTGTTTATATATAAATATGCTATTGCTGTCTAATATAAAATCCATACTTAGATAAAAAAAAACATGAAAAATATATAAACTTAAAGATTCCTTTTTATAAAATTGATTTCATCATTTTATAATAACTTGGAAACGTACAGAAAAGCAAAACAAAAACAAAAAATAAAAGTTATGAAATTTTAAAAACAAAAAATATCACAAATACAAAATCTATAAAATTGGATAAACTTCAAATATCAAAACTCTTTCCTATACAAAAACTAGTACTTGAAATGGAAGACGGAGGACGATTAGGGTTTCAGTAACCATTGATCACTATTCTGAACAATGAAGAATATTGAAATCCCCCGAAGAAGATGCAGATGCTTCTTCTCCATTTAGTCGCTTGCCTGACGAAATCATCCTCCAAATTGTAAACAAATTAATCGATTTGAAAGCCCTTTGCTTTTGCTATCTCGTTTCCAAACAATTATCCTCGATTGTACTTCAAGTCGATGCCATTTCCTTCGCTTCTTCTATGATAGACCCTAACATTCCCGATAAGAACACAATCAGTGATGTCGCCCCAAGTAGGCCGCGTCCGACAGAAGTTTCTTCGTTTTTTGGTGAGTCCTTTCTATCTGCAAAAGGGTTTTTGAACAAGTTTAAAGGGGTGAAGTCCTTATATATCGAACTTCCATCTGTCGGTCACAGAGCTATTGATAATCGTTGTTTGTTCAAATGGAAGGTTAAGTTCGGTAAAAAATTGTATCGTTTATATTTCTGTCACCGAATTCAATTTGTGATAAGGATGGATTCTATCTCAATGGGAATGGGGATGAAGAAGAAGACGTCGAGTTAACCAGTGATTTGATTAAGAAGAAATTTGCCATTTCGATTTGGTGTATGGAGGATGTGATGGCGTGGTATATTATGTTTTTGCACCTTCTTGATAATCTACCAATGCTGGAAGGTGTTTCCATTACTGATTCAGGGAGAAGAGGGAGGTTTTCTCTGAATGGGGAAAAACTCAGTGAGGTGAAGCAATGGTGGTTACATCCACCTTTGGAACCTAGGAAAGAGCTTGTAGGGATTCCTAATATGGTGAGTAAGTGTTACATTCCTGTTTTGAACTTGCCAGTTTCTGGGTACATGATGAAGGGGATATTTTGTGCTCTAATGGAGTCGAAAAATCTAGATGGTGAAATTGATGGTCTTTTGAATAGTGAAGATGGTTTTGATGATAAAGAAGAGGCTGCATATACTGAAGCTATGAAGGAGATTTTGGAGAAACATAGGGGTTTGATGGACTGATGCAGATGTCCATGTTGTATGAATCAGGTCCATATATACTCTGAACCTTAATATTCTTTTAAGTTTTATATCTTAGTCTTTTCTTTTCTACCATACATGTTTACTTAAAGATTACTGTTGAATTCCTCACCCTTAAACATTTCTATTAACATATGGTAGTACTTACTAATTTGCATAAAAATGTCACAAATTTGTCACATGTATAGCATCATCTCCAAGGATAAGAAGAAGGCATTTTACTACTATAAAAGATAAAAACTATGAGTTAAGTTGAAAAATTGAAACACTCATAAAACTTATGTTATAGAAACTTTTTATTTGTATTTTGTATATGCTTCATACCATGAACCATGTAGCATGAATCATTTGCGTGTATGCTTTTGTTTTGAAGTAATTGTTATAAATAATTTTAAGACCAAAATCTCTTGTAGGAGAGGGAGATCGAGTTTGGTAAATATGATTGTTTAATTGAGAATATGTTTTGGAAGCCATAAGTAAAGTTGTTAGTTTTAGGGAGAGAATAAAGATTAAAATCCTAAAAGTAAGAAATGAAAGTCCAAGGTACAATGTTAATAAAATGCACATTTTACTTAGTAATACTGACTTTAAGAAGCTAAGGTGTACAATTATAATGATAGTGACCAATCATATACATGAAAAGACATATTTCATTACCCAAAAAGGTAAAGTTGGATGACTTATTTGTTAACTAAAATTAAAAGCTTGCAAGAAAAATAATTGAATCATTATCTAACCAATTTGTGATTTACACGAATGACATTTTATATGCTAAAATTATTAGAACTACTTTGCATGAAAAAGATACTACTCATTGAGCTTAATAATTCGTTGGATGTGTATGAGCTTTGTAACTCAAGTTATGTGTATGTATGAAATGTATTTTCAGGTACTGAAGCAAGCTCAATTAACAGCTAACATGTAAAATATTTGTTATATATTAGTTAATAGAAGATGTAACGAATTTATAAAGATATATGGTGTTTCTTGAAGCGGATATTTCCTTAGAAAAATGAAAACATGTTTTGGTATGTAAGTGCTACAATATATAATAATATATGCATCTATATTCATTAGCCATAAAGTCATCTGTAGATGTAGCCGTTAGCTTGCCCCATGTGCCTTGCACATGAGGGCATTTTGGTAATTTCCCTTTGGTCTTCTCAAGACCATTCACCCGCCTTCATCCCCTTGACATAACCCTTCTCCATCCATCACCATTCCCACATTCTATCATAATCCATCCTGATCTCCACTATGATTTGGTACATTTATTATGCTTAGTTTATTGTTTATTAATTGCCAAATTAATTGTGGAAAGAGAATAAAGTTTCATGCTACTGTTTATCAGCTCAGTCTTCTTTAAAATCATGCACCTATCATTGATTGTTCTTAATTCTCTTGTTGGATCTGAAAATTATTCCGTATTTATATATCGATTGAAATTATATCTTATTATCTTCATTCGATCTTTGCTCAAGCTAGATTCATACGGAGTGGCGGTGTTTTTAGGGTTTTCTTGGTGTTCTTCACTTGCTTTCTCTAGATTTTTGATTTTGTTTCTCTGGACTTGAAGTTTTAATCTAAAATTCGCTTATGCTAATGATTTATTGATGTTTGTTAAATTTCGTTGAGTATCTTGAGTCTGTAGTGATTTCTATATGATGTTTTCGATGATGATAATTTTTCTGGTGAGGGCTCAAGTGGATTAATCGTCAAATGTGTTATCTGATTTTGTTTTTGAATAGATGGAGGCTTTTGGAATTAGTGTGATATTCGAACGGATTTTGTTTTCTATGGTTTCTATGTTTGGTATTTCGATTCAAAGAGAAGATGAATATTGGTGTTTTTTGAAATTGGATTTTATTGACACTTGATAATGGATTTTTGAATTTGATTCTTTGAAGAATTAAATTTCGATTGTAGAAATGGATGCTCTTTCAATTCGATAGAATTTTGTCTTGTTGATGTGATGGGTGAAGATTCGTTGTTTTTCGATGGTCTGTGATGTTTTTTATTTGGTTATCAACGAAACTGGGTGCTTTCGTTTTGGTCAAAATTTGATTGTTTGACTTTGAAATTGGAGCTTGAATGGATTTTCAATCACAGTTTATGTGAGTTTCGCTTGACTTGAGTTTCGATTGATTGAGAAAATAAGTTGGAAAACGGTTTCGCACCGGTTTCTAAAGCTGTTGATGATGGGTGAATGAATGAAATTAATGGCGGTGGACAAAAACAAACGAGAACGAGAGTTGGGTATTAAGCAAAATTCATGGTCAAACGGAAACGTTCCCACGGAGAAAATAAAGTTAGTTTTGATAGTTTGCGGATGGGTGGAAGATGGATTGAAATTGTTTATGGTAGTGATGATTATGGTTTGGAGAATTGATTTTGTTGTTTAATGGGATGGTGGTTAGTAGGCGGATGGTGGTGGTTGGTTGTTGGTAGTCGGTGGTGGTGTTTTTGAATATTGAGAGATGGAGAAGGGATATGTATATAGAGATAATGATTTTAGATATTACATATTTTACGTATTTTATATTTTTAGAAGTAGAAATACGTATTTTGATGTTATTTGAAGTGTATATATATATATATATATATATATATATATATATGGTTAGGTTATTTTATTCTAACTATGTATTGTGTGCATGTAGGAATGATTGTGTACCAATCATTTTAGTTATTTTAAGAAAACAATTAATGTATATTACATGTCGAAGATATAATAAATGTTAATTAGATTTTCACCATTTAATATGCATTAATTACTTTCTTAAAATAATTAAAATGATTGGTCCAGAATCAATCCTAAATGCACACAATAATAGATAGTAAAAATATTTAAACCTAACTTTCTCTCTCTCTCTCTCTATATATATATATATATATATATATATATATATATATATATATATATATATATATCTATCTATATATATATATAGGGAAAAGTTCAATAGAGAACCATTATTAATCAAGGAACCAAGGAACCAATCCAAAATGTCGGAATTTAAAGCGATCAACGGCAAAAGGAAATGTTGTAAAATTTTATAATGGTCATGTACCGGATTATAACAAAACTCACTTCTTTTTTTTCATTTAAAATTTTTTTTAGGTCAAGTTTTTTATCGAAAAAAAAAACCGAATATACCGTTGTTCAAGATTTTTCGTCTTCTTTCCATAGAGATCCATGATAATATATAAAAAACGATTTTTTTTTTCGAAAAAAACCCACTTAATTTTCTTAGTTTTTTCAATATTTAAGTTTATTTTAAAAAAAAACTAATTATACCAAAAATATTAATTTTTAACATCAACACCGATTTTAAAAAAAAAAAAAAAAACCTCGAACAGTGTAGATTCACACTGTGAATCTAAACTGTAAATATTTTAATTTTTAACATTCACAATATGAAAAATCTCGAACAGTTCAGATTCACATTGTGAATCTGAATTACTATTATGCACACTGTGAATCTAAGAAGGTTTAAAAAAAAAAAAAAAAAACTCGATCAGTGTAGATTCACACTGTGAATCTAAACTGTAAATATTTTAAATTTTAACATTCACAATGTGAAAAAGCTCCGATCAGTTCAGATTCACACTGTGAATCTGACTTATTATTATGCACACTGTGAATCTGAGGAGGTTCACAATATGAATCTGAACATGTTTATAATATGAATCTGAACAGGTTCACAATGTGAATTTGAACTGAAATATTATTTTATTTATTTATTTGATTATTTTTTTTAACATGAATATGAATCTATGTTTAAAAAGTACAAAAAATATGAATTTTGATATATTTATTAAATTTTTTTCTATAAAAAATAGATCTTAATTTTTTTCATCAAAGAAAATGAAGTGAGTTTTTTTCGAAAAAAAAAGTTCGTTTTTTTATATATCATCATGGATCTCTATGGAAAGAGGACGAAAAATCGTGAACAACGGTATACTCGGTTTTTCTTTTTTGATAAAAAACATGGCCTAAAAAAAATTTTAAAAGAAAAAAAGTGGTGAGTTTTTTTGTAAAGGGTAGATTTTATGGTATAATCCGGTGTGTGTGCGTCCAGTGTAAAAGTGTACATCTATTTCGTTGGCCGTTGATCGTTATGATTTCCGACGCTCACGATTGGTTCCTTGGTTCCTTGGTTAATTATGGTTCTCTATTGAACCTCACCCTATATATATACTAGTCGTTACCCGCGCAAAGCAGCGACAGAAAATAGTTTTTTTCAGCGATATGTTTCTTTTACAAAAATGTTATGTTCCAAAAGAAAGTAAATTTCCAAATAAAGGGTTCTATGTTTTAACGATATGAAAATTAGTAGGAACATCCATGTTATCATTAGCCTTTGAACCTCATCAATAACACACAATTTTTAGATCGATGTGAAAAAAGTAGTTAGGTTTTAAATAAAAGTAAGCAAAAAAAAACTATTGATCTTACAAATTTGTGTATCATGAAAAATTTTAGCAGTTAGTTTGCCTTTACTTCATATCTTTAACACAAATTAATGAAATAAAGATAGTTGGTAATTGGTCTAAGTTTATCTTATAAATTGCTCCAAGTAACTCATGTGCTGGACATCAAGAGCTAATATGCTTGTTGTCTTTCGTGCTCCAAAATAGCCATGAAAAAAAATGCTTAAAATAGAGTCATCTGATGTCGTTTCATGTAGGTTTGTTTTTTATTGTGGAAGAGGGACAAGTGTTGCCGATACGTTTATTTCCAACGGGCGGTGAATAATTTTCTTTTATCAAGTAGTTACCTTCTATGATGAAATAAATATCACAAACAAATTTAGAAAATACCCATCAAACTACAATAAAAATGTCATTTGCTACAACATAAATGTCGTTTAATCCATATCAACATTTTCACTATAACCTTGGATCCTTCCTATAGGCTGTAGCAGAAGCACATTTGCAATTAAAGAAACAAAAACGGTTCAACCCAGCAAATAAAGTAC